GATTATACTCTTGTAGTCCCATTATGTGGAGAAGATCTTGAATCGCTTTGGCTACATTGATAGTAAGCCTTCTCCAACACCTTATGATCCTAGCTTGTTGCTTCGCAAGAACAAGAGAATTGCTAGGAATCAACTGCAATACTCCCAAATCATTGGCTCGCTGATGTACCTGGCTAGTGCAACTAGGCCTGATATCTCCTTTGCTGTGAGCAAGTTGAGCCGGTTTACCTCTAATCCGGGAGATGATCACTGGCATGCGCTTGAGCGAATAATGCGCTATCTGAAAGGTACTATAGAATTGGGGCTTCACTATTCTGGGTATCCTGCGGTACTGGGGGGATATTGTGATTCTAATCGGATCTCTGATGTGGATGAGATCAAAGCCACTAGTGGATATGTCTTCACACTGGGTGGTGGTGCTGTTTCGTGGAGGTCTTGCAAACAGACCATTTTGACGAGGTCAACCATGGAAGCAGAACTGATGGCACTGGATACTGCTACTATTGAGGCAGAATGGCTGCGTGATCTATTAATGGATCTGCTTATTGTTGAAAAACCGGTGCCGGCTATCCTTATGAACTGTGACAATCAAACGGTAATTGTCAAAGTGAATAGTTCTAAGGATAATATGAAATCGTCTAGACATGTGAAAAGACAATTGAAGTCTGTCAGGAAATTGAGAAACTCCGGAGTTATAACGTTGGATTACATCCAAACAGCTAGAAACCTGGCAGATCCCTTCACAAAGGGACTATCACGAAATGTGATAGACAATGCATCGAAGGAGATGGGTTTGAGACCCATGTGAGTTATACTATGGAGGTAACCCAGTCTATGTGATCGGAGATCCCGTGAATTAGAACCTGGGAAGAACAAACCATTAGTAAACTAGAGGAGAGTACCAATCTATACCCTCTCTAAGTGAAGATGCATGTACTCTTGTGAGCTGCAAGGCAGGTTGGCTATGCCTTAATGAGTTCTGTTGGCTTTAATTAGCGAAGATGCTGTTCAGCAGAGCATTCTTGAAAGAACTCACCTTTGTAAGCTTGACTGTTGGTCGCAGTCTATGAAGATTTTAGGTGAATCTTCTAGGAAGCTTACTAAAGACCTAGCAGTATGACTTATACGCTCCACCCGAGGGGTAGTATATAGACGGTCTAGTAATAAATAAGACTCTGAGTAAAACTTGCTTGCACAAGACTTGCAATTCAAGGCGTAGTCCATTGTTCAAGTTGTGAGTAAGTGTAGCTTGGAGTTCTAGGTGGATGTTCAACCTTAATCGGTCTCCATCGTACCGCTGGTATATAAACAGTACATTGGAAAAGGCAAATCTCAGTGGGATTTTGAGATTTGGTGGGGGATTGTTGGAATTAATAGATGGGCTAAGGCCCATTCGAAGATTAATTCTTTAGAAAATCACAAAAGCCCACCTCATGGATTGCATGCATGTGGAGTTTAGTACCACCTTGCTTATTCTAGGAGAGGGGGACCTCCTTAAAAGGGACGATGCCCTCCTAACCACTTGAAGCATGTGTGGTGGAGAGAAGAGGGGGAACACATGCGCGCGCTCGCCTCGCCTTGCCTCGCCTGGCAGGGCAGGGCCGGCGGCACGCGTGCACGACGTACGCGTTGAATGGTCCGCAAAATTGACTCCTCACCCTTGCGCAGATGTAGCCTCCTTATGCTGTTTTGTATTGCTGCAGGAAAATTCGGATTTGTTCTGTTGTTGGAAACATTCCGAAAAATCCGGTGCGTGAAAACAGCGTGGAGTCCGGATAAGTTACGCGCGACTTATCCGGTTCGGTTACGCGGAGTGGAGATCATGCGGGCGCCCTGATCAAGCGACCTATCTTTATATAAACTGAGCCACCGCCTTCACGCAACACACGTGAAATCAATCTAGGGTTTGCCTCCTACTCTGTACTGCGCCGTCGCTCATAGACTACTCCATCCCGCTCGCCGGCGTGCACCGGCGATCGGGAGAGCAGGTCTCCGGAACCTCTGCCTTCGACGTGCTGCACCGGGAGAAGGCGGCAATAAGGTTTTTGGGAAGCGCTTCACGCGACTGCTTCCTATTCGTCCGCGACGGCTCGTCTTCCTCTCCGCACGTGTGCTTCGCGCCTTCGTCGACGCTCGCAACCGCGAGTAGTTCCTGCCGAGCAACCGGTCTTTCCGCCACCTCGGTACGTGTTCGACATGTTGCGCATATTTGATCTATTCATGTTTTACTGCTTAGTTTACATGTGTAGATCTAATGATGCGTTAATGCTAGTATACATCTGTAATTACATGATTTATTTATGGAATATATTAAATCATTATATGCCTATGTTCTCAACACTAGCTGCACATGCTCCTCCCTATTGCCCTCCTCGCCCCTTCTTTCTTCTTATGCTTGGGCATGCAATTTTTATCCGCTATTAGGTATGCATTGTTCCACATATATTTGACTAGAAGTGCATCTCCTCTCCTGTACTAGTTTGTGCAGGATAGAAAAATGTAGCGCACATTTGGTTCTCTACCTTACCAATTTATAGGTAGTACCAACATCTAGACAAATTTTGGCACTATCAATCTTTTGGTAGGACAATGTTAACTAATATTTTCGAAAATAGTTCAAATCGTTTGGTAGGATAATGTTAGCTAAATTTTTATAGCTCAACTAGTTAGCTAAACATTATTTTTGGAAATAGGCCTTTGAATCCAAGTGAGAAAGTTTCACCATAAAGAATCTAACTAGTTGAGCTATGCTCATTACGCATAAGCTAATATTCCCAACAGTAAAAATAAAATCATAAGAATCAAGGGTTTGAGATTTATTTTGTACTCGTAGGAAAGACGAAAGAGAAAGAGAAAAAGAAAAAGGAAAATATGAAAGAAAAAAACATTAGAGGAAAATGGAAAAGGAGGAAAAGGAAAAGGAAAAGGGAAAAGAGAAAACAAGAAGAAACAAGAAAAACGATATTAATAGAAACAAAATTTGTGGGAAATCGTCAGAAAAAATGATAACAAAGTTTTGAATAATCAATTAGTCAAACTAAAACTATTGTTTTGAGATTTTTGTTAAGCTAGAAGTAAATGAAACGAACAATATTTTTATAATGTTGCAAAGCTGAAACTTAGAAAACCAGGATACGATGGACAATACCTTTAGAAAAAAACAAACCATAATATGATGGACGGTACCTTTAGAAAAAAAATATGGTATCGACTGTGGCCCTAAAGGATGTAGGGTAAAAGTATTAATACATACTTTACTCCCTTCATCCCAAAATGTACTAGATTGGACACAATCTGACAGTCCATATTCTATGTTTAGACGGAGGGAGTAACACTTTTTTGCACTCAAGTAGTATGAGTACTTCCAGTGGTGAACTAGAATGAAAATGACCAGGGGTCCTTTTAGTATTGTTTTCTACACACAGGGTAATATATATACAATACGATACTACCTATATCTTAAAATATATAAGGAATTATACCTATATATCTGGACAAAAAAAATTTAAGACATAGTTAGTATATAGTAATAACAATATATAGTATTTAACTTAAGAGTCATAAAGGTGCAGTAACTTAGCGCCTTAGCTTATGCCTTAGCTTATTGAAATAGCGATCGATCTTACATAAATGCACAAGAAAGGGGAAACAGATTCTAATCCCTTGAGTGATGTCCCTTGACACCTTTTTCTTCCAAATTCAATGAAAGGTTATTTTTTTAAAAAAAATATTAATAATATATAGTTAGCAACGCCTATCACTCCAAAAAACAAGTTTAAATTCGACCTACACATTAAAAAAAGATAATCTAGATAGAATAGTACCACTATTATTTATATGGTGAATTTATCTTTTTAATATATTCTGAGTTGTGTTTGTACTAACTTTGTGAGGTGGTATATATATGTTGTACGAATGTCGCCAAGTATTTTAGAATATTTTAAACAAACGGGAAATTTTCACCACAAGTTAGTCCGTTACCCCACTATGCAATTAGGTTCATCCAGATTTTGCTTTGTTGTCTATTTGTCCTCTCATCCACCAGCGAGTAAGTCGGTGGGGATGTGAAACAAAGGCCCTGTTTGTTTCAGTTTAAGATTGTTGTAATCCAGATTATTAAATCAGATTACTCTAAAGTTGAATTATAATAAGCTACGAGTTATTTATTTCTCAAGATTATTGGAGGCATTTAAGGGTAGTGGGTCTTTAGCCACTCAATAATCTGGAAAAAGCTCCTCCAGAGGAGATTATTAGATTATACTAATCTGGCTTATAGATTATACTTCCTCCGTTTCATATTATAAGACTTTCTAGCATTGTCCATATTCATATAGATGTTAATGAATCTAGACATATATACGTATCCAGATTCATTAACATCTATACGAATGTGAGCAATACTAGAAAGTCTTATAATATGGAAAGGAGGGAGTAATAATCAATCATAATAATCTACTTGTTTGTTTCAACTTACTCCTAATAATCCAGATTATAATAATCCTAAATTGAATCAAACAGGGCCTTAGAGTATCCATGGATGCTGGATGGGTTGGAGAAGAAGGCTTTATCAAATTTAATTGCAATTTTCTTTTATGGTATGGTCAGATATAAGATGCCCTAGGCGACTTTGTTAAAAAAAGAAGGTCAGTTACCCCACTAAAAAATATGACAAGATTACAAATGACAGTGCAGAGACTAATGAACTTTGGAATATGCTTTTTTCCTCTTTGCCGTGGCCCAAAAGAGACTGAGAGCCAATGTTTTTATTCTGGGGCATTTTACTATTTGCCACTCTTTGATGTGGCATTTAACTCTTTGCCACTCATATATTTATGACATGTGCACGTCAATGTATCTATGACATATGGGTTCAGCTAGAAAATTATTAAACACCATATCTAAAGTAGCAAATAGTTAAATATCTACTTCCTCTATCCCAAAATATAAGCATATTTAGCTATGATTTATAGCCAAAAGTTATTACATTTTGAGACGGAGGTAGTATTTATCTTTTCTTGAGAAAAGGTATTACATGGAGCTTTGAACGAAACCATAACAGGATGACAGGCCCAAATGTTGGCAGACCCTTGTTTGAGCAACTATATAAGAAGTCTGCCCCTCGGATTGCACTTGAATCCATCCAAACACCCCACCTTAATTCACGTCATCCAACATTGGAAATGGCGAACCGAGAGGAGCCTTATTCTACCACTGGCGGCACTGCTGCAAAAGCTCCTCCGGTGGCGATGGACGCCAAACTGCTGATGGCGGAATGCCCTGAAGATCGCAAACTTCTCAAGGAGCTTGTGCACAAGGAAGACGCTTCGAAGATGATGGTGGTTTTGGCGTCAACCACCAACCAGCCTGCTGCAGAGAAGCCTGCGGCAGCCCGTGCAGTAATGAATCCGCTGCTGCTAGCAGCAGCATCCTTTGGTGCTTGCGAGGTTTTCTACTTTCTTTTCTGCAGAGAAGACGCACGAGAGCCGCTGCCGACAATGACGGCTCGTGCATTTCACGCCATGCTTGCTGGGGACGCCTCCGGCGCCGATGGGCGGTGGCCGTCGACCCATCAGCAAGCTCTCGACGAAGTAGAAGAAGGCGGCGCCGGTGCCGCCGTTGCCGTTGGTCATCAGTCCACTCGACGGCTACCACCACCTGACGCGCCGCTCCTGGAGGGCATCACCGTTGAAGGTGACACCGCGCTGCACGTGGTGGCCACCCATGGTAACGCCGCCAACTTCTTGGAGTGCGCTGAAATCATCTGCAACAGAGCCAGACGCCTACTGTTGGCGACTAACGACAAGGGTGACACGGCCCTGCATTGCGCTGCCAGGGCCAGGAGGTTGGAGATGGCCTCTCGTCTCATTGCTCTAGCCAAAGCTAGGGAAGACCACGAAGTCGAACGTGGCCAAGCAGCATCGTTTGGCAAGGTACTCCTGAGAACTGAAAATGAGCGCAATGAAACAGCCTTGCATGATGCAGTTCGCGCCGGAGATGGTGACATGGTCCGGCGGCTAATGGACGAGGACCCAGATTTGGCTTTGTTTCCAGTACAGGGCACTTCACCCTTGTACCTGGCTATCTCTCTACGGAATGGCACTATTGCTGAGATACTACATGAGAAGAGCAATGGGAATATATCCTACTCCGGACCACATGGACAAAATGCACTACATGCTGCTGTTCTTCTTCGACATACAGGTATACTCGCTTCACAATTAATTCCATGTTCCTTTTGGACCTTATACTTTCTAGAAAAAGTGTTTTCATCTCTCGAGAGAATATCTCCACACATGAAAGCAAAATTTAACTCATACAAGTTGTAACAAAAATAACAAATATAACTACAAGTGTACGATAACTATTTTCGATTTAATTTGTTCTTTTTGTTGTAACATGCAGAAATTTAATTCGGTCTTGAATATTTGTGGAGTGATATATTTCATATTAATCTATGTAGTTATTTTTTAATTAATTTTTTAATAACTATTTAGATGACATGCAAGCAACGAGGGGACATCCCCTCAAGGGATAAAAATCCACATCATTACTTTCTCAGGGATGAAAATCCACATCATTACTTTCTCGCTCATTGGTTGTTAATTTCTCTGCAAATGAAGTTGTGTGTCGCTTGCTGTCCCCATATATATATTTCCACAACCCTTGAAAAAAAGCTCTCTTGTGTCTATGTTTTTTTTTTTTAGTTTCCTAACAAGTTTTTCCTGTCGTAATTCTACAGAAGTTGCCAACTTCAAAGCAGAAATTAGTTTTTCTTTTACCTAATCTTGTGATTACTTAGTGTCTAAAATGTTCTTCCATTTACAGCGGTGTTAGAACTACTATTGAAATGGAACAGCAACCTTAC